TGCAGTCCAGCAGCCATTCAAGAAAGTTTCTGTTGGAAAGGACAGTCTCCAAAATTCCTAGGTTTTTTTATACCCTCCTAACCCATTGTTTCAAACAATGGCTAGCAGGTTAATTTGATCACTGCAACTCTAAAATAATAGATCCTTAAAGACTTTAGGCACCCCTCCCTAGCATTGTCTTTTGTGATCTGGGGTGGAAGAATTAAGCTGTCTCCACAACTGAGTTTCTTTTGGCTACATTTTTTTTTCTTTTAGTTAAAATATATTTTTGTAGGGCTTTCTTACAGTATTAACAGTAAAAGCACCAATCCTTAATGTAGCTGTACCCATTTCCATGTGGAGACCCTTTGCAGATATCAATAAATGTCTAGGGGTTTGTTTTTTAAAACATGCTTCTTTCATGCTTAAGGCTTGGGGTTTAAATAAAATGCTTTTAAATGTTTGATTTTCTTTAGAGCAAATGCTTGTTCTAAAGTATGGGTAAAAGTTTGAAACATTTCAGTTTTGGGTTAGACCCTTAACTTTTTTTTTTTTTTAACTTTTAATGGCTAGAAAAAGTAGCCCATTCAACCTACTCCTGGGCCATATTTAAACTGTCCAATAGCGATTCTACCAACTCCTGTGTCCTTTAAACTGTCCAATAGCACTCTACCAACCCCAGGGGTTATATTTAAACTGTCCAATAGCATCTGCAAACTCCTGAGGTGTTATTTAATTAGATATTTATCAGAGCCCACCCATACAACCCATCACATTTAATTACTAAACATTAACCTCAACAAGGGTAAGTGGTCACACCTAAACCTAACCATTGACTAGAGCCCCCTGGCTATTCAGTGAGGTGTGGTTAAACCATTGAGTTCATGTCTAATAAATCCTAACTGGGAGGGGGGGATTTTTCCTTTTATTTAAAAAACAAAACATTTTGAGGAGTTTTTCCTTCCCCGAGTTTCTACAATACACCTTTCAGGGTTTTTCAGTAAATGGGCCCCTTTATACAAAATGGATTCTCACAAACTTTATTTTTTTTTAAATGATTTTATTTAAAAGACATACAGACCATGTGTTCCACCAAAACTTTTACTCGTGTAAAGATCACACAAACCTTCTGAGAGAGAATAGTCACAAAAGCCCCTTTTCAAAAGATATTTACAGCTACCAAGTTTTATATCTCATGTGTGTCCCCTCACCATTCTCTAACTTCATTCTTTTAGACATCTTACAAATAGTCTTTTTCTTAAGCAGGGTTCTGTAACTTTTTGTACGCACCAGACGTTCAATAGAACGCTCTAAGTAGGCGTCTTTTGGCTTGGTCATGGTCTTTAAAACACTGTGAGGATCTTGACTGAATTGCTCAACACCGATACAAAGCATTGAAGAGAACGCCAAGAATGGCGGCCATGAAGAATTCAGGAGGTGGCTTGGCATTGACCTAGTTGAGGCAGTGCCACATCATAAGCGTAAAAAAGTTATGCGCTCTATTGTACGCGTTGGTGTTTATACCGTCCTTAGTCACTGTCTTAAGGAAAAGCTTTTTGAGGACTGGGAGGGTTGTGTCATAAATGCGCCAGCCCAGCGGCACCATGACTGTGTGTCTTGGACCCCAGAGGATATAAACCGCAAGCTCCAGGGCCTGTGTGCTGAACTGTGTTTGGAAAGCTTATTAAATACTGTTATTGCCGTCGGTTATGCTATGCAATGTCTGACCTTAACTCAAGAACACTTAGCACAAGGGGTGACTTTGGTAAATGCAGTGCAATTCAGCCAAGATCCTCACAGTGTTTTAAAGACCATGACCAAGCCAAAAGACGCCTACTTAGAGCGTTCTATTGAACGTCTGGTGCGTACAAAAAGTTACAGAACCCTGCTTAAGATGTCGAAAAGGAAGAAGTGAGAGAATGGTGAGGGGACACACATGAGATATAAAACTTGGTAGCTGTAAATATCAATTGAAAAGGGGCTTTTGTGACTATCTTCTCTCAGAAGGTTTGTGTGATCCTTACATGAGTAAAAGTTTTGGTGGAACACATGGTCTGTATGTC